TTGTCTGTAGAGAGCTGGACTGTGGCTCTGCTGTTTCTGTAGGAGAGAGAGAGGAGTCCTCACGCAGACCTGTGTGGTGGATCAGCTCTGACTGTGTTCATTCTGGATCTGCTTTGAAGGAGTGTGTAAGATCAGATTCCTCTTCCTCCATCCTGGATCTCACCTGCTCAGGTAAGCCCGTCAGTGACATCTAGTGGCCATTCAGGTACACTGGGCATGTGCGTGCCGGTGTAAACCTGAAGGAGATGGTGTATTCCGTACACTGTAAACCCGAATAAGTTAACAGTACTCAAAAAAATTAAGGCAATCATTTGCCACAATTTTTTCGAGTCTAGAAACTCAAAAGTCGAAAGTTTCCAGAACTTAAATATTTGGAGTTTGGGTTACATGTTTTTGATTACAGTTATATAAAATTACTGATTAACGTAACTCAAATATTTATAGTTAATGCAACTCTAAAATATTCACTGGACAGAAATTAATCATTTTAAGTATGAAAACCCAGTGTATCATGTAAACTCAATATTTATTAGTTTATTGTTCAATATTTTTAATTACTACTAACTCAAAAACATTGACTTCCTCATACTCAAATAATTTACCCCAGAGCTTATTTGTGGCAACTGAGTACTACTTAACTTAACTTAAAAAAAAAAACGTCAAATTAAAAGTACAAGTCAATATTTTTGCCTATTTGCAAACAATCCAATTATGAGGATAATTTTAAAAGACAGTGCAAGTCATGCACTGCTTCATCGGTGCCCCCCACAAACTGAAAGCACCAATTACTCTTTTATTGTACAAATCACATTTTAGCATTTTACTGAGATAGACTAGAAGAAAAATAAAACCAGTGAATTAGGGTTGGACCGAGACGATGACTGACAGACATCACGATGTTGAGCCGGCATCGTGATTGTAATCTTAGTCTTAATTTTTCACATTATACTACACTGTGAAAGCAGTTTTTAATCCTCATGAATATTGGACTTCTCTCCCCACATTCACACACACCTACACCTCTGGTCTCTCACTGCAAACACACCGGCTTGTCCCGCCTCTCTCTGTATCTCTACCCCTGTCTACTCCACTTTCTCCATCAGTAGTGATGGCAAGTTTGACTCTTTTGACACTAGAGGGCTGCAGCACTCAAAAAAGATTTTAATGAACGAGATTCAAATCTTTTTTAAGTGCTGCAGCCCTCTAGTGGGGGATTAAAAAACAGCACCGTTCCCAAACACGGAAGGCTGCCTGGCTTGCTTTATTTGACAAAGTATAATGTGCAAATTCACCTTTTGACCACACTCTATCATCATTACACAATACTTTGGTCCCACAACCAAATTCAAACCATGTAAAAACCAGAGAAATATGTTGTCTATATGCAATCCACTACTCCAGCTAAATCCTTCCATTGTCACAGTCTTTCCCGAGTTTACAACCAGACCAGCCATATATATATATATATATATATATATATAATTATAATTACTATCATTATCTCTGAAGTGCTCATTCATACAGTAGCCTAACCTCTCTATCGATAAGTATAATATTAATATCAGATTAGCAGTAAATATACTGAAGTAATAAGCTTGATACACTATATGAATAAACACACTCTTATTAAAATTCAACCAATACCAAACCAACAATTAATAATAATCTGGATCAAGCCACCAAGTTCTTAAAAGAACTCCAGCACAGAGAGAGGAACAGAGAAATAAACACATGTAAACGCAGCAGTTTGGCAGGTCTGGACGCAGAATGGGTCACATCAGGTCCTGATTCTGCAGACAGAGAAACACACATGAGCACGTCGCTCTCAAACACTGCAGGTTGTTCAGCAGTCAAGCTGTGAAACAACAGCCCGGCTCTGTTGGTAAATAAAAAGGAAAAGTTACGTTACCGGATCAGCTGTTAGCTGTAAACATGACCAGGTCTGTTTGTTTTGGAGAGGAGACGACCTCTGAGGTAATTCGGATCCCGGTACAACCCTGTCAGGGCTCTGAAGTGGACCCAGAACAACTCTCATCAGCTGTTAGCTGTAAACACTAGCAGGACTAAAGTTAAGGTGCAACTGCGTTAAAACTATAACTTAGCACAGCATCACTGCGCTGTAATAAATGTCACAAAATTATCAAAATAGATATTAGATATATGTCAGTCCAGTGACTGTTACCTGACATCCGACCTGCCTCTCATTCTCCGGCGCCGGCAGTCACTCAGCCTGCCGAGTGAACGAAAGGCTGAGGAGGAGCCATGTGAGCGCTGAACGAGTCGTTCATTCCTGCTCCACAGTAGGAGCTGTCACGTGACAAATGAACGACTCAAACCTGGAGACATGCTATGAGTCATGAACTAATCAGTTCTGTTTCCTGTGCTGACGGAGTCCATGCTGCTGCCGTGTGACGAGGGAACATAAGAGTCCAAGATCCTTCATGCATGCGTGAAAATGAACGAATTACTCACTGAGACGACCCGTTCCTCCTGAGTCATACACAAGATTAGGTCTTATGAACGAAACGTTCTTTGAACGACACAACTCTATCCATCAGCAATATGTTTGATAAAGTTGCCTAAATGACACAGAACTTTTCTGTATTTTTCCACCCACGATCCGTTATCACCGCAGCAGGTGAGCTGCGTGCCAGCTTGTTAATGACATAGCCTTTCAAAATAACCGAAACCAACATCTGTACCCTGTGTGTTGACTGCTGCTTTACCTGGTCTTACTTGTAAAATATCCACGATTTGTAATGTAAGAAGTGAAGTCTGTCAGTCTGTCAAATACTGGAAGAGGCATTAAAGTTGGTTTCCCATAGTACACTTCAATGACATTTACATTGTGTGTGAGTATACTGAGGGCTTACATTGCGGGTCTTGAAGAAATCAGTCATCCTCTTGTAGGGATGAAGGGCCAGAATGTGTCTCATGTGTACATCATGTTGTTTCTAGATTGATAATCAAAATAATTATCATTATACAAATGTTTTTTCAGTACATTAAGGCATACAGTGTAACAGTTGTACCAATGTAATTCTAAAAGAATAATAATACTATTATTAGCAACAACAGCAATAACAATAATAAATCCATCCAACTGCAACTACCTATAAGACAAGACTTACAACATGACAAAAGATATTTGGAAGCCAGTGCAGTAGGGCTGGACCCCAGTATTCTAGTTATTGACTAGGGGTGGGAATCTCTGGGCACCTCACGATTCGATTTTGATTCAGAGGGCTGCGATTTGATTATAAAACGAGTATCGATGCTTCTTGACATAACCTTTCCCTGGATAATTACTAAGCATTTAATTTGCACATTTAAATCCAAATGAAACATCTCCTAATTAGCTTATAAGGACTAGTTTGCATCCCTAATTTATTTTATTAACCTCAGCTCCATGGTCCATTTCTTTAACATTCAGAATCCTCTGAAAACAGACAAAGTTAATTATTAGGATATAGCCTACAGTATGTGTACAGAACAGAGCTGTACACCACTTCAGTCTAAGCTTGTACCTGATGTTCTCAACCCTTGACTAATGGGTTAGTTAATAATGACATAACGTTACAGCTGAAAATTAACATTACTTCATTACTAATTTAGCTAACGTTACATAAATAAATAAATATTTTTACGCATTTCACGGGACCCAAGAACGCTTTACACATCGTTACAGTGACAACAAAAAAAGTCATTCAGGATGAATGTCTGGTGTGGGGGACAGAGAGCAGGCCCTTGTCCATGGGAGATGTTAGCTCGCGCTAACAGCCTTCACTTTTCCAGCCGTTGGGGAAACTACAGACTTTTATTAATGGACACACTGTGACCTACACTGCACGTTTACTACCTGACTGAAACTTCCTGCTAATATTTTCCTCCGCTAACTTTCACCGTCACGTTCTGCTACTCGCTCTCTCTCTCACTCGCTCAGCCTCGCACACAGGATACGCAGAGAGCTGCCAAGCGTCGAGTGTCGCCATGCTCGCAGTGTACAAATTTAAATCATCACTTGCGCATTGATATTAATGATTATGTGACATTTTAGTAGGGTGGTTATTCATTCTGCAGCTGTGGTATGTCAAATACAGGGGGACTCTGGTCTCTCTGTTGCGCGCGCTCCGCAGGACTTTCCTGAGTTCCTTTTGCGTTCTGTCAACATTGCGTTATCAATTCACTTTTAATAATCGATTTTTAGATATTTGTTAATTGATTCATAATCCTCCACGTCAGCATCGCGATGCATCTAAGAATCGATTAATTCTCCCACCCCTATTATTCACTGGGCAGGTTTTCAGATTTAGATTTGGTGATTTTGATATTCTCACAAGCACCCACACTTCAACCCTCAACTCTGCACACGCACAACAGCTCACACCACCTCTTTCTGATTTTCTCTTGCTGTATCATACAGGGACAAAGACACGTGGTTTGTCAGCAGTAAGATTTATAGCCCAAAAAAAAAACACTGCCTGCGTTTTGAACCTCTTTAGCCCAGATTCCATGTCAACAACTTTTGGATGGATCTTACACTACATCTCTCTCTGTCTGTTCCTCTGCACCTGTCAGTAGACCCTACAGGGATCAATCATCGATGGCATTGGTCTCTTGGACAAGTAAAAAATAAAGCCATTTAAAATAGGCTTGCTACAACTTTTAAAGTGATCATTTACTGGAAAACAAAGCAAAAAAAAAAATGACAGAACTGTGCAAATGTGCAATGACCACTGAGAGTAGATGTCATCATAGTCATCACAAATTCAGAACTGTATTGCAGAGATGTCCTAATCTGTAATGACCACACATTATGTGATCTACATTGTGGCTGTGGGTAAATTAATCTTACACTCACCTGGAGGTCGTAAATCCTAGGATCCCCGCAGTGCCTCTGCTGTCTTGCCCGTATGTGTGGCCCTCCACCTGGACAGGACAATCAGCTGTGGTGTCAAACTCACAGTTGAATTGGCTCCATAGCTTCAACATTAGTCATCATGACGATGGAACTCAGAAAACACCTGCAGACGTTCAAACACAAAGACATAAATGTATGTTCCTTTAAATACCTTAACTGAAGTCTTTCAAATCTATGAAGTATAAAATTTATCAAGTCTACATAATCTTAAATAATTCAAACGAAATATACTAACTCTGATGCAGAGATGTGCAAATTGAAAACATACCTTGGATAGCTGTAGTGTCACTCAATACTTAATCCTGCAGGAGCAGATAAAACACAAAGAATTCCCGTAAGTCCAGTCAACAAGAACGTCATCAATTGCTGATTTTTTAAAATACTATATTTTATCATTTCACTTACTCAGCGATACAAGAGGTGCTTTAGCAAGTCAGGTAATTATGGACAAGATGAAATCCCTTCAGCAGCACTCTATAGTACTTAATGGGCACACAATATATGAACACCAACTTTTTATTAGTTTACACAATAATGGCCATGTAAACACTTCTCACAAACATGTGATACTGGAATAGTTTAATGTTGTGAAAAATGTATTTAGTCTATAAGAGTCAGTTACCAGTTAAATAGTTACATCTAGCTAAAAAGTAATGCAGTAATACAACATTCCCATCATAAATCCTCCATAACAATGATAATGTTCAGTTTTGGATGAAACTGTTTCGGGGAGTTGTTGATTCGACTGTAACGTTATGATCGTTTTGGAAACTGCAGTTGTGCTGCTGGTAATTTGTAAGGTTATCACATGGAGAGGTGCTTCTGTTATTTTGTCCATCCCATTAATATCTGAGATGCTAAATAACACACACTATTTTGTGTAATAATACAACTCATGTCAATGTAACATTACCACAAACATCTTCCTAAATGAACAAATGATAAAATAGTTGATCATCAGTTAAAGAAAACTGAGCATTCTTCACCAGTTAAAAGGTTTCATTCTCACAGAGGCAACTAGTCTCTGCAACAGAAGGGCTGAGGGGAATCATTAGGTTTACAGCTAATAACATTAAACTTGTATCATCAACACTATTTCAAGAACAGCTTATAAACAAACACAGAGGTTGCCTGTCTCCACAATATAACGTTAACTAACGTGAGTTAACTGACAGTGACAGCATTTCACAAAAGTGCAAAGTTAATGTTACCTCACTGTGAGCGTGCTTACTTCTAGCGTTAGCCTTTCTTTAAACGTAACTGCGCCTGACAACAGAGCCGAAATGCGAAATTTTTTACGATGATACACACATAATTAAAACAAAAAAACAAACTTTTTTTTTTTGCATGCACCTATACTGAGCTGGAACTGTTACTGAATGTATCACGGGACTGTGGCGGCGGAAAACAGACTGGGAGTCGTTGCAAAGTAAACGCTGACATGCACAGTACAAGTGTAAGCAGATAGGCCTTAGTGCTATTTGCAAGGTACAGAATATTTTAATAAAAATACCAACCCAAAAACTAAGGAAGTCCTTCCTGCCTGTGGCCATCAAACTCTTTGACTCTGATTTATATTCTAATATTTATTTTAAATTGTTTATTCCTTTATCTGCTATTGACCAACTTTCTCTTATTATTTCTCTTCCTTTATACTTTGATGTGCAATGTGAGGAACTGGGACTGAAGAATTTCCCCTCAGGGATCAATAAAGTATTTCTGATTCTGATGAAATGATAGAACATCATTTTAAACCAGAGATGTTTTTCTGTCATCAGATGATGTTAATCATCATATCGCACAGCCCATGTGACAGAGTATTAAATGGAAATGTGCTGGTGAACTTGCTGCAGTCTGTGCTGGTAGAAAGATGTGTTCTGTTGTTAATGATGAACTGATGTTGGAGTTGTGCTGAGTCCACCTTGAATCACTGAATTGTTGTTTCATGACATGTTTTTCTTTTGTGTCTGCTGTCTTTATCTCTATTTCATCTTCTATTATCTCTCCAGACTCTGTCAGGCTGCTGGACGGGACTAGTCTGTGCTCAGGCAGACTGGAGGTGAAGTCTAACCAGTCTAACCAGTCTAACCAGAGGTGGTCCTCAGTGTGTGAAGCTGACTTTGACCAGCAGGATGCAGAGGTGGTCTGTAGGGAGCTCGGCTGTGGGGCTCCTTCAGTCCTCCAGGGGGCGCTCTATGGAGAAGTGGAGGCTCCGATGTGGACCAAAGAGTTCCAGTGTGGAGGCCATGAGTCTGCTCTCCTGGACTGTAGAAGCTCAGGCTCAGCTAGAAACACCTGCTCACCTGGAAAAGCTGTTGGACTCACCTGCTCAGGTAGAAGAGGAGCTGCAGCTTTGATTTGGTTCATTTCTGTTCTGATGAAACTCACTTTATTGTTTTACTGATGACTCTCTGGTTTCTGTTCAGAGCCTGTCAGGTTGGTGGGAGGAGCCAGTCGCTGTGCAGGAACACTGGAGCTGAAACATCAGAGAGAGTGGAGACCAATGAAAAACTCTGACTGGACCCTGAAGGCAGCAGCTGTTGTCTGTAGAGAGCTGGGCTGTGGCTCTGCTGTTTCTGTGGGACAGAGAGAGGAGCTATCATTCAGATCTGCGTGGCAGATCAGGTCTGACTGTGTTCAGTCTGGATCTGTTCTGAGGGAGTGTGTAGAATCAACTTCCTCTTCCTCCATCTTGGATCTCACCTGCTCAGGTAAGCCCGTCAGTGACATCATCTGATGTGATGTGATGACTGTCTACGGCTGTGTTCGAAACGGAAGGCCTCGCTGCCTCGATACCGTAGTAGACAGCTGCCTCAGAAGGCATCACTTTCAAGTGAAGGCAGCTCTGTTTACATTAGTTTCAAACAGCCTTCTATGGCAGCACTTACGGCAATGTGTGACGTCAGCACGCCGTGTTGCGTCTCTTCTGGCTGTCAGAAGAGACGCTAGCCTTAGCATAAGCTAACTAGTGTGGTGTATAACATATGCTTTTGACATTACAGTTTAATATAATGCTCTGCAGCTGGTGAGAGGAACAGTGAACCCTTATGAGGAAGTAATGATTGATGGGTGAACCAAGAGTGAACCCTCCTATAGAACTTGACCCCTGACTCAGAGCTGGAGAGAGACACAGTGGACCCAGTGTTAGGGGAAGTGGTGTCTAACAGATGGTTACACTTATTCTACAGCACTGTGCCCTTATATGGTATTTAGCAGAGACCTAAACATGTCTTATATAAGCTGTGTTCGATGTACAGAGAGACAGAGTGGCCATCGGGCTGGGTCACTCTCCAAGCTGCTGCAGAGCTTGTAATTGATGCTGAATTCTTTGATGTAATAAACTTTTATAATCAAGAACAGTGTCAAGCGGATTTCTTCTCAACACATCATCGCAGCATTATCGTTCGGACACCACACTAGCTATTGAAAAGCCAAACGGCTAACAGACGCCTCAGAAATCATACTGAACAAACTTGGTTGGTTACAGTCACGGGCTAATATGATGGCTAATATGTGTTTAGTTCTCGCTAGATTTTCAAAAATCGAAGTGAGAAAACTTCTAAAAACTTTTAAAAACATATAATTGTGTACAACTTCGGCTTGTTTGTCCGCCATCTTGACCAGTTTTTGATAGCTCCGGCGGCCGCAGCCGTGCTGCTTTATGGGTAATAGCCAGTATCAAGTCAGCATCAATGCTGCCTTCAAAACTGGCCGTTACTGGGGCAGCTTGAAGGCATCTCAGGAGAAAGGAAGAGATCGTTCGAGCCGTTTCGAACAGCACTCGATGCCTCGCTGTCCTGTTAGACATCTTCTGAGACAGCAGTTTAGCCCGTTCAAACACAGCCCATGTGTTTGATCAGATCCAAAATTCCTCTCATCATAGTGGTCGTCCTGCAGCTGACTCTGCTGTTGGTGACTGCTGCCCTTTGTTTCTACTACCAGATACTGACACGTGTTTGTTGTTCAGAGGACTGAGATGAAACACTCGGTCTGTGTTTCCTGAAGAAGAGGAGGAGCGATTCACTAACTCACATGTGTGTTCTAACAGCAGTTAGCATCACAGCAGCGTGTCAGCCAGCTCATTCCCGGGTTCAGTCCCTTCAGGAGCTAAACAGTATCAAACTGAGCTTCTAGAACAGTATGAGCTCCTGGTTTCTGCTCGCATGGTCTGAGTCCTCCTGTTCAGTGTTACCCAGCTCTGAGGAAACATCTCTCTCATTATCAATTTCAATGTCTTTCCTGCATCTGGCACGTGTGCTAGAACGCAAAGCGTCGTCCCCTCGTTAAAATATGACCATAAAGTTTGGAATTTGCGACACAAGGAAATGAAGTGGACTGGTGGAGCTGGACTCTGTCGGTGGTGTCAGAGAGGAGGATGCTGTCCAAGCTACATGTTATACTGGACAATGTCTCCAGCCACCTCATGTAGTGATGGTCAAACACAGGAGCACTTTCAGTGCAAGACTCAACGTGCACCACAGAGCGCCACAGGAAGTCCTTCAAACTCTTGACTCCTCCCTCAGAGAGTCCCACGCTCTGTTAGTCAGTAACAGAGCTTGTAGTGAAATATTTCAGAAACTGATGTGCAGTATTCTCTACTCTCTGTCCAAGGTTAAGGATTTTAATACGTTCAACACTATCTGTATTAATTATTGTTATTTATTATTATTTATCAGTAAACTTCTCTCATACAGCCTGAAACACTTTACATTTTCCACACTATGATTTATATTCTAATACTTATTTTAAATTGTTTATTCCTTTATCTGCTATTGACCAACTTTCTCTTATTATTTCTCTTCCTTTATACTTTGATGTGCAATGTGAGGAACTGGGACTGAAGAATTTCCCCTCGGGGATCAATAAAGTATTTCTGATTCTGATGAAATGATAGAACATCATTTTAAACCAGAGATGTTTTTCTATCATCAGATGATGTTAATCATCATATCGCACAGCCCATGTGACAGAGTATTAAATGGAAATGTGCTGGTGAACTTGCTGCAGTCTGTGCTGGTAGAAAGATGTGTTCTGTTGTTAATGATGAACTGATGTTGGAGTTGTGCTGAGTCCACCTTGAATCACTGAATTGTTGTTTCATGACATGTTTTTCTTTTGTGTCTGCTGTCTTTATCTCTATTTCATCTTCTATTATCTCTCCAGACTCTGTCAGGCTGCTGGACGGGACTAGTCTGTGCTCAGGCAGACTGGAGGTGAAGTCTAACCAGTATAACCAGTCTAACCAGTCTAACCAGAGGTGGTCCTCAGTGTGTGAAGCTGACTTTGACCAGCAGGATGCAGAGGTGGTCTGTAGGGAGCTCGGCTGTGGGGCTCCTTCAGTCCTCCAGGGGGCGCTCTATGGAGAAGTGGAGGCTCCGATGTGGACCAAAGAGTTCCAGTGTGGAGGCCATGAGTCTGCTCTCCTGGACTGTAGAAGCTCAGGCTCAGCTAGAAACACCTGCTCACCTGGAAAAGCTGTTGGACTCACCTGCTCAGGTAGAAGAGGAGCTGCAGCTTTGATTTGGTTCATTTCTCTTCTGATAAAACTCACTTTATTGTTTTACTGATGACTCTCTGGTTTCTGTTCAGAGCCTGTCAGGTTGGTGGGAGGAGCCAGTCGCTGTTCAGGAACACTGGAGGTGAAACATCAGGGAGACTGGAGACCAGTGAGTTACTATGACTCTGACTGGAACCTGAAGACAGCAGATGTTGCCTGTAGAGAGCTGGACTGTGGCTCTGCTGTTTCTGTAGGAGAGAGAAAGGAGTCCTCATTCAGACCTGTGTTGAGGATCAGGTCTCACTGTGTTCAGTCTGGATCTGCTCTGAGGGAGTGTGTAACATCAGATTCCTCTTCCTCCTTCCTGAATCTCACCTGCTCAGGTAAGCCCGTCAGTGACATCATCTGATGTAATGTGATGACTGTCCATGTGTTTGATCAGATCCAAAATTCCTCTCATCATAGTGGTCGTCCTGCAGCTGACTCTGCTGTTGGTGACTGCTGCCCTTTGTTTCTACTAGCAGGTACTGACACGTGTCTGTTGTTCAGAGGACTGAGATGAAACACTCGGTCTGTGTTTCCTGAAGAAGAGGAGGAGCAATGCACTAACTCACATGTGTGTTCTAACAGCAGTTAGCATCACAGCAGCGTGTCAGCCAGCTCATTCCCGGGTTCAGTCCCTTCAGGAGCTAAACAGTATCAGACTGAGCTTCTAGAACAGTATGAGCTCCTGGTTTCTGCTCGCATGGTCTGAGTCCTCCTGTTCAGTGTTACCCAGCTCTGAGGAAACATCTCTCTCATTCTCAATTTCAGTTTCTTCCTTGCATCCGCCACGTGTGCTAGAACGCAAAGCGTCGTCCCCTCGTTAAAGTATGACCATAAAGTTTGGAATTTGCGACACAAGGAAATGAAGTGGACTGGTAGAGCTGGACTCTGTCGGTGGTGTCAGAGAGGAGGATGCTGTCCAAGCTACATGTTATACTGGACAATGTCTCCAGCTACTCTGTTTGTCAGTAACGTTCAACACTACCTGTATTAATTTTTTTTATTTGCTGTTGTCTGTAGCAAATAGCCTTGTTGAAGGCTTTCTTAAATTGCAGACACTCTTTTTTTCCTGCTAGAAATCAGCAGTTCTTGGATACTTTTAAATCACTGGGACTGTCAGATAAAGTAGGCTCTTGCCATACTTTAAAAACTTTTATAATCTTAGTGCTACGCGAGTGCGGCCTATTTTATATTAAATTTTGTACGGATAATGTAGTACCAAAAAAGGAGGTGATCATTTATGCAAACAATAAGCCCTACATAACTAAGAAAATTAAAAGCTGTATTAATAAAAAGAAACTAGCCTTTCATAACCAAGATCGCCTTGCAGTAAGATTAGTACAGAAGGAATTGAATGGTCTATTGAGGGAGGCCAGGAATAAACAAAAAGAACTTTTGGAGAACAAGCTAAATATGTCTAACCCTAAACAGCTTTGGGACTCTATGAAATCCATAACAAATATGCAGCCTTCACAGAAATATGTATCTACTTCAGATGATCTACAGAAAGCCAATGATCTAAATAATTTTTATCTAAGATTTGAGAAGTGCAGCCAAACTCCTGCAAACAGCCTTAGCGATATAGAGACTTCTGGTGTTCTTAGAGAAAGGTTGCTGATTGATGCTAATCAGATCAACCATTACTTTAAACACATTTGTCCTAACAAATCGGCAGGCCCGGATGGAATTTCAGCCTACATCTTAAAAAATTTTGCTGATGAACTGACTCCAGTATGGCTTCCTATATTTCAACAATCTCTGGACACTGGTACTGTTCCTAGCCTCTGGAAAAGGGCTGTAATCATACCGGCCCCGAAGATAGCCAGGCCCGTAGTAAACAATGATTTTAGACCGATCGCGTTAACGTCTGTGATTATGAAATGTTTTGAAAAGTGTATTGTGTCAATGTTAAAAGCAGAGGTTGCTAACAACCTAGATCCTTTACAGTTTGCCTATAGGCAGGGGAGGGGAACTGAGGATGCTATTATTAGCATTATGCACCTAATTCTGAAGCATTTAGAGAATCACAAAGCCTATGCTCGTTTACTTTTTATCGATTTTAGTTCGGCCTTTAACACCATTCAAACACCCTTGTTAATCTCAAAGATGGAGCAGTTGAGTGTAAACCAAGCTATCATAAAGTGGTACTCATCTTTTTTAACTGACAGAATTCAGTGCGTTAAAGTAAACAACTGTCTTTCACAACAAAGAAAGACTAGCACAGGTGTCCCACAAGGCTGTGTCAGTTCTCCAATTCTTTTTACTTTATTTACAAATGAATGTTCAAGTAAGCATTCAAAAAACTATATTTTTAAATATTCAGATGACACAGCCATCTTAAGTCTTCTTGATGAAGACGATAATATTAGAGATGGATACCTGCCAGAAATAAGTCAGTTTGTTGAGTGGTGTGATAAAAATGATCTAATAATAAATATAAAGAAAACAGCGGAGATCATATTCGATCCAAAAGGTATTGGGGACCATCATCAAGTGGTCATACATGACCAAAACATCACCCAAACGCAGACTTACAAGTATCTGGGTGTTTATATAGACAGCTCACTTACTTGGAAAACTCACACGGAATGGGTTTGCACACGGCTGCACCAGAGACTATATTTTTTACGTAGATTACGTTTTTATGGGGTGAATAAGAAAATTATGATGCTGTTCTACAAGGCTGTTTTAGAAAGTATTGTTAAGTATGGTGTTACAGTATGGTTTGGGAACCTATCTATCCAGCTAAAATCCAAATTGTCACATCTGGTGTTAACAGCACTTAAAACAGTTGGAAATGAGGAATCTTTGAATCTCCAACAGTTATTTGAGAATAGCACTTTAAATCAGGTGCAGAAAATTGTGGGGGACCAAACTCACTTTCTGCACTCTCAGTATGAATTGCTCCCCTCCGGCAGAAGATATAGAGTTCCACTGTGCAAACTAAACCGGTATAAAAATTATTTTGTTCCTGTGTCTACACGTATGTTGAATAACAGTCTATCTTATTCATTTTAAATTTGTAAATTAATTGTCTTTCCTCTTTTTATACTTTTTATACTTTTTATACTTGTATATTGTATATTTCTATGTACATGCAGCAACCATGCAGTCCAAAACAAATTTCCTTTCGAGGACAATAAAGTATACTACTACTACTGTCAATAGCACTTGCCTGTACTGCAGTGACTGGAGCTATAGCTAATGCTAATTAGCAATAAGATGCCCCCCTTCTCCACTGACAACTTCTACAAACTTCTACAGAAAATTGCAGTGCTGGAAACCAAGTTCCACAGGTTGGAAGTCAATGTGGAAGTGAATGGACTATGTGGGAATGAAACCACTTTACCGTGGACCCAAAACGTTGGACAAGAGCATGCTAACACATGGCTAATTAGCACCAGCAAGACTACCAAGAAACAGGAGGCCTGTGTACCAGGTAATAAATCTGAAAGTGGGAGTCCTCCCTGGAACGCTCTTGGTGCAAAGCCTAAGAGTAAATCATTTCCTTGGGAAATGGGAGGATGAGTAACAGGCAGAACCCAGCGCCCTGAGATTTGTGATGCGACTGGCTGGCCTGCATTATCATCAAGGCAGAGCGCCTCTTCAACCCCTGTTCTTGGTAGGACACAGCTGTGGACAGCTGCGAAAGGGAGAGTTAGCAACAAACCTCCCCAACAACCAAGTGTGCAACAGCAGAACAGATTTTCACCACTATTGCAGGACCCTGAATCTCCGTCTGATGACCTGGATAACATAACACACACAACAAGTAAAAGGTTGCAGGGAAAGCTAACGACTGGGCCTCAAACTCTGATTGTGGGTGACTCTGCTGTAAACGATGTAAGAAGCATGTGCAGTAAGAACACCAAAATACTCTGAAGGATATGGTGTCTGACTTGGCAGAAATAATCCTGCATCATGGCTGAACATCCTTCTGTGAAAAACATCATTCTGCACATCGGGACCAATGATGTTGTGAAGCAACAGTCTGAAGTGTTGAAAGAGGACTTTAATAATCTGCTGAACAAAGTCAGCTCTTTGAATGCTGAGGTGTTTATCAGTGGCCCAATACCGCCAATCTGAAGACGAGCTGAGAGATTCAGCAGATTGATGGCTTTGAACACGTGGCTCTCAACGGCGTGTACTGTCCATTCAGTGCATTTCATCGAAAACTTTTACTTTCTGTGGGACCGCAGACATCTTTTTAAGGCAGATGGACATCGCCTTAACAAGTCAGGAGTAAAATTTTTCAGCTCCACCTCTAAGTAATCTAAATTCAATTCAGTTTTATTTATATAGCACCAAATCACAACAACAGTTATCTCACAGCGCTTTATATAAAAGAGCAGGTCTAGACCGTACTCAACAATTCCCACCAAGAGCAAGCACTAGGCGACAGAGGCAAGGAAAAACTTCCTTTTAAGAACAGAACCATGGCTTACGGGGGGCGGCCATATGCCTCGACCGGTTGGGGGTGAAGGAGAGAGAGAGAGAGCGAGAGAGAGAGAGAGGGAGAGGGCAAGAGAGGAACAGAGAGAAAAAGAGAGGGATGGAAGGAGAGAGAGAGAGACAGTCTACACAATATACACACAGAGGTACAGACAGTGAAGGTGATGTTGCTATAGACTAAATGAAAAATGGTACAGATATTTATAATAGTGTTAATGGTAACCATCGTAATGTTAATGATTATAATAACAATAATAACAATAGGACTAGCAACAATAGTCGTTGCAGCAGAGGGTGTCGAGCAGGAACACGGGGGCAGCAGGTGACCCGCAACCACAGATCCAGACTCCACAGCTCCAGAGCCAGAAACACCTGCAGGAAGTGATAGGAGGAGAGAGGAGAGGGACAAGAAAGCACAAGACTACCAGAAAGGGGAGAAGTTGTGTTAGTAACATGCAATAATGGGATGAGGTTGCATACAGAGGGAGAGAAAGTAGAGGAGAGAGGAGCTCAGTGCATCATGGGAAATCCCCCGGCAGTCTAGGCCTATAGCAGCATAACTAAGGGATGGTTCAGGACTACCTGAGCCAGCCCTAACTATAAGCTTTATCAAAGAGGAAAGTCTTAAGCCTACTCTTAAATGTGGAGATGGTGTCTGCCTCCTGAACCCAAACTGGAACCTGGTTCCACAGGAGAGGAGCTTGATAGCTGAACGCTCTGGCTCCTAGTCTACTTTTGCAGACTCTAGGAACCACAAGTAACCCTGCATTCTGGGAGCGCAGTGCTCTGGTGGGGTAGTGGATGGTGCCTGACCATTAAGAGCTTTGTAGGTAAGAAGAATGATTTTAAACTCTATTCTGGATTTTACTGGAAGCCAATGCAAAGA